ATTTTCATTAGAATGGTAAAACACTGAAATGGCACCAGACAGGCTGTGGGGTCTCCATTTCTTAACTGAACCAAGTCCTGACTAAACTGCTACAAATTGGCCCCGCTTTGAGCAACAGGTTGGACAAAAGAACCTTCACAGGTCATTTCCATCCAAAATTATTCTATGATTTTTCCTGGGTGTATTTGGGACCATACCACAGGGCCTTGGTTTATAATACTTAAGCTGACTGTCTGCACTGACCAAGAATGGAGGCAAATTGCAGGTGCTCAGCTAAGATGAATAATAACTCTGCCCACAAAATAACCCACAATGGTCAGCATCCACACTGGAAAACTTTACACTCAGAAACCTTCTCCAGTGCACTCTATGAAGACCTCCTCCACCATGGTCTCAATGTGTTCAGGGAGATATTACACATAGCCTGCTGTGCTCAACAGACCAGGACCCTGTGACTATGAACAGCTGGTTCTATCATAAAACCTTCTAGAAAGAGATGCACTGGAAAAAGATTACTGGGGATAAAATTCAGAAGAAAAAATCCTATAGGATCTCAAAATGCATCTCAATTTATCTAAAGGGCTAAGGCTTCAACTCGGATGACAATTGTAAAGTACTCGCTTAATCTTACAGAGCACTATGAGAGACTGGGAGTAGTTACATATACTAGAATAATCATGATCTGATGATTTAAAGTGATATTTATTGATGCCCAAAGGTATTTTTGAGCCCATACCTTCTTCACTGACTCTCTGTTTTCACATAGCTGTTTTGCCAACTACTGACAATCTGTTTAGAAATATCAGGGAACGTGAAATCAGGAGGTGTATCAGTGTGAGCGTCCACTCCAAAACCTCTGTGAAAATAACCTTCAGAATGGCAATTGGCCAGAGATGCAGTCTGAAGCCAGCTAAGATACAAATAAATATTCATGGCAGCTAAGGATTTTGGATTTAATGCTGTCCTGCTAATGCAGATAAATATTCAGATTTCCTTGGCTTCTGTAGACTAAACCCAGTTTAAAGGAGAAATTAATACAATACCATTCAAGTGACTCTGCCGCTGCTGCTAGGGGTTTGGAGGGAGGTGAAACAGGGTTGTTATCATAATTTTTAAAGACCAAGATGAAATCTCTGTAATTCAAACGTCTACATCAGAAAGCAGATGCAGAAAGATTCACGTGTCCCAATGGACTCTGGATCATTGCTGCCTCATGGCAGAGGGATAGATCTATTTGTACCATACTTGTGCAGCACTATGCTGTGCTTTTGCCTACAGGACTGTATTTCATTAGCAGGTAAAGCACCTCTCACTTATTGTGACATCTTTGCAATGAACAATATAATCCAAAGCTAAAACTTTACTACTGTTACTCCTAGTTACTGTGCAGCCTTCTCTATCCTAAGGCTTCTGTTTACGTGATATAAACCCCCAGCTCACAGTTGACAGTAACCGACTCTGAAGTGATGATTACCTTCGCAAGGCTCAGTTTACACATATGATACATAGTTGAGTTAGACTTAACCATGCTATCGCAGCTGTTAACCATGTTGCAGCAACAGATCTACATAACCACCTAACTAGGTTAAAGCAGGGCTTTCCTCTCCAGCCAAACAAGAAGCAACACTTATGTCCTGTCTCCACCACAAACTCTAGTCACATTACAGGCAGGAGGAACCTCAGAAGTTATTCAAAGGGACACAGAATGAAAGAAAATTATTTCCCTTTCTCTGCACATTCACAAGCAAAAGGATAACTGTGCTCTATAGCCCATTATTAAAACTCTTTGCAACTAACCACACTAACTCTTTGCACACCACCTGGATGGCAATCCCAAGCACAAATACAGGCTGGGGAGAGAATGGATTGAGAGCAGCCCCAAGGAGAAGGACTTGGGGGTGTTGGTGGATAAGATGTTCAAAATAAGCCAGCAATGTGCACTGACAGCCCAGAAAGCCAACTGCATTCTACTCCTCTATTGCGCTCTCATGAGTCCCCATTTGGGAGAAGGACTTGGGGGTGTTGGTGGATAAGATGTTCAAAATAAGCCAGCAATGTGCACTGACAGCCCAGAAAGCCAACTGCATTCTACTCCTCTATTGCGCTCTCATGAGTCCCCATTTGGAGTGCTGTGTCCAGCTTTGGAGTCCCCAACATAAGAAGGACATGGACCTGTTTGAATGGGTCCAGAGGAGGGCCATGAAGATTATCAGAGGGCTGGAGCACCTCTGCTATGGAGACAGGGTTAGAGAGTTGAGGTTGTTCAGAGTGGAGAAGAGAAGGCTCAAGGGAGACCTTACAGCAACCTTCCAGTATATAAAGGGGCTACAGGAGAGGTGGGGAGGGACTCTTTATCAGGGAGTGGAGCAATAGGATGAGGGGGAATGGTTTTAAACTGAAAGAGGGGAGATTTAGATTAGATATTAGAAAGAAATTCTTTCCTGTGAGGGTGGTGAGACACTGGCCCAGGTGGATGTCCCTTCTCTCGAAGCGTTCAAGACCAGGCTGGATGGGGCTTTGAGCCACCTGGTCTAGTGGGAGGTGTCCCTGCCCATGACAGGGGGGTTGGAACAAGATGATCTTTAAGGTCCCTTCCGACCCAAACCATTCTATGATTCTATGATTCTATGATGCTAGCCAAGGCTGTCACTGTGAGGCCACTGGTAAGTCACTTCACTCTCTCAGATATAAGTCAGGAGCCTAATTCACATGCTCCGGAACATGAACTTTTAAATTGTTTTCAACACTTCTTCAGAATCCATGGAAGAAAATGAACAAGATAACAGATGGAAGAGTTGTTTTTTATTTTTGCATGAAACAGCTCTCAGTCTGCATTACCTCACTGCCGCTTATTTCTTCTGAGCCATGCTTTCATTTCTGTAAGTCTATGTAGACTGAAAAACTTGCACTTTCTCTTCCCTCTTGTGACCGTGGTTTCTGTAAAAAGTTAAGAAAGGAGGACAAGTAATTCCTAAACAACTCTAGCTATCACACTTGTGGCTGGCCAAAAAGGGGCAAGAGGAAAGGAATGGGAAGAAGTGGTGCAGCCACATGGCAGTGGTAGGCCAGGGTCTTTTCCACACTCTTTCAGTGGCTGTAAGCAAATCTGTTCCCTTACACATTGCTATACATCTAAGTAATATTAAATTGAGCAAGTTTCTGACAAGACTTCCAAAGTACAAGGCTCAGCTACCAATATACTAGTTTGAGGCATCAAAGCACTCTGGAATTCAAGGTATTCAGCTCTCTTAGACAACAAACATAAATTTGGAAAGGCAAATGAAGATAAATATAAACAGAATCAGCAAATTTATGACCCCTAGTTAGGAAGCTACATTCAGTGTAAGAGCTAATGGAATAGCCCTACCCATTCAGCTCATCAGCCTCTCAGTCTTTTAAAACATATACTGGAAATCATAGCAGTCACTACATTTATTCTCTCAGTTAAGATATACTTATCTTAAGCCGAGTTTTTGTATGATCCTGACAATTCTCACTCAAATGAGAATTACTTGAAGACATACAGACCACAGTTTGAAGAAAACTATTTACAAGTGGGGGTACAATATTTTGTTAGAGCAGTTACTTCTTTAAAAAAGCAAAAAAGATGGTATGTGTTCCAGCAGCCAGTAAGCCATCTCCACCGGGAGCTCTCTCAGATGCTTTGCTGCAACAAAGTTTTTACATGACCTCAGTGCTCACTGTCTCTGTTGGACAGAGTGTGCCCAGAGTTTGCCAAAAGAGAAGACCTAAATGCTGCACTGAAGTGACTGTCACAAGGGCAAAGGGGAGCTTTGCATCTGACCCAAGGGGCCAGGAGCTAATTTAACCTTGTGTCTTGTTTCAGCAGATCACAGTGCTCAGCTCCACTTCGAATACTCTGTTCACTATTACCAATCTCTTAAACTGCTCAGCCAGCTTGATGGTGTTTCCTTAAACTAGGGCATCAGATCTAACCCAGGAATGGTTAGACAGGCCAATGGATTACGTCACCGGCAACACAAGGAGTTTTAGGCTGTGATTGGTTTCAAAGGGAGCCCATTCCAATTATTCTCTTCCTGTGAGTCTGAAAGTGACTCATGCAAAGACAGTCAAGACCACCCCACTGAGCCTTCAGATTAAAAATAACAACAAGGGAAAATTTGGGAAAGGCTTAATCTGATCTTAAGATATTGGAAGGGGAAATCATTTAAGGTACAACTGGCATGGGAATGAACTTGACCCAGAAGGCAAGTAGCCCAGCTCATGGTGGATCCCCATGAGGAGCTGCAGACCCCTTGGCCTCGCACCCTCCCCTCCAGCACCCTGCCAGGCTCCCAGTGCCTTCCAGGCAGAGAGAGCCAGCAGCACGGCACCCTGCTCCTCCCCACAGCAGCCAGGCCCAACAGGCACCACCAGGCACACGCAGGAACGTTTTCCATATAGACAATACTCCCTGGAGCCTCACGGTATCCAGGTCCCCCAGAACAGGAAGAGAGGGTTAGGGGTGGTTTGAAGGCACAGATTTGGAAACTGTGGAGGAGAACTGGGAAACTGACAAATAGCTCAGGGGCTCTCCCCAGTCCCTCCCAACCTGCAGCCTCCCATGGACCCTCTGGCTGGGCTTTGTTGCTGCAGCCGGCTGGCTGTGGGCTGGGGAAGCAGGTTGCGAGGAGCCTGCCTTTCCCTTTCTACCCAGCACAGAGCTGTGCTCGGGCACGCAAGGTAAAAAAGCAAAGGACAGACCTTCTCTCTGGCCTCTTCGGCTCTGGGGAGGCTGCGCTCGTCCTCCCGGCTGCGGCCGCGGCTGCCGGCGGGATGCTGGCGGGCCGGTCGCAGCGCCTTACCGGCTCCACATTGATCTGCCTCCCGGGAGCCTCTTGTATTATTTTTTTCTCTCCCCCTCCTCCGTCCACCCTTTATTTTCAAGGGAGCGGGGAACGACAAAAAAAAAAAAAAAAAAAAAAGAGGGAAAAAAAAAAAAAGAAAGGTGATGGTGGGGGGGAACCTTTCTATTATTATTATTCTAATATATTCTGGGCGCTTGTGGTTCCTGCAACCAGGCGGAAGTGAAACCCGTTTTCGCCCCCCTCCTCCTTCCGCGATGCTCCGGGGCTGGATGCAGCCGGGCGGCGGGAGGGTGGCCGGGGACCGGCGGGGTACCCCGGCGGCAGCGGCATCCCGGGCTTTCCCTCTTCCGCTCCCTCGGCCCGCAGCCGGGATGGAGAGAGGCGGTGCCGTTCCCGAAAGGCAGAGGTTGCTTTGGAGGCCATTGAAAAAAAAAAAAGCGGGGGGAGGGTTGGAGAGGCGGAGGGAGGGGAATAATTTTCCTGAAATCTGCCGGCGCTCGGCTGGTGGAGCCCGGTGCCGGGAGCCCGCATTGCCTGCGCGGGGCTGAGGAGTGCGGAGGGTGCGCGGGAGCGGGACCTGCGCGGCTCGGGTGCGGGAGGGGAGCTGGGCACCTGCAGAAGCGCTTGCGGAGCGGGGGCGGGTGTCGCCGGGGAGCTCGGTGGCCGCTGCAGGGGGACCCCTGCGACACCCGCCCCCGCTCCGCAGCCGAGCTCTGCTCTCGCCTCCCGAAGGCACAGCCTGGCGCAGTTGGGAACTTCAGTGACAGGCAATCACTGCTGGTGGCACAAGAGGCAAAGCTCTAAAATGCAGTTAAATACAGCAGTATCTGCTAGCTCCTTAGTGACATCCTGTGGTACGGGGGCACTACTGCTAATGGCCAGCGGAGCTCTGATTTTGGCCACTGGATTTGGCAGGAGCAGCTATGTACGGCGCAGTGTCAGGGTGTTTGGTCAGGGACCTAAACCACTCTCGGTGTTTTTATTTTAAATCACTCATCTGCCTTATGCTGCTGCAGAGCTGCTCTGTTTCTAAAAGGTAACTGGCTCTCAGACACTCTGGGGATTTGTGCTTTATAAATGTGTAGCATCTTCCATGGCACATTATAGAACAGAGAGAGCTCAGATCTAAGTACTGCAGCTGGCCTCCCGCCTAGACTGAGGAGCAGAGAGTGAGAGAGACACCAAATGAACATCTAACTAACTCAGGCAAATGTTAATTTCTTAACTCAGCATGTGTCATCATGTTGAAACAGACTTGCAGAACATCCCCTCCAGCCAAGAAGCACAGGAGTAGAGATGAGGCAGTGAAACCCTGTCCCTCCCTAAGTCTTTGGTACTCTAGGGAATTCCACTGTCCTCCTCCCCTGTCACACAGCACACTGGGGTGCTCCAGTGACCTGTGGCAGACAAGGCAAGAAGTGAAGCCAGTGAAAGAGAGCTGAGCACATGGATCAAAAGACCACAACCTGTCTCTAGGCAGCACTTAACAGGCATAGCTGGGCTAACTGGATTCCAGTTTACAGGGATGCCACTAGTCATGAGGATTTGGGGGAATCAACCTAAAAATGTCTTCACAGCCCCTGACAAGCTTGGTAAGATCCATCCACTATGTTTACAATGCTTACATTGCCCAGATCAGAAAAATTAAGGCTAGCCTGGGCAGGCCTGAACACATAGCAACTGAAAATCCTGCTAATTGTTTGGAGGCTTGTGAGTGCTGGCTGTAGATGGACTGGAAAAGGCTCTTCTAAACTCTTTTACAAGAGTAACTCACATCAGATGGTGCAGATGTTCACAAGAGATGACTGAGACACTCTACTGAGGTCTGTTGTCCCCAAAAGCCACCTGCTCACAGCATCATGGTAGAACTTAACCCCTGTAAAATTCTGGCACTGCCCCTTCTTTGTGGGAAAAGTGAAATAGTCAATGATGGTGACAATCTGTTTCATCTGGTGGCAAGTTTAGGACCAGAGGTCCTCTGCAGATTCATCCCTATGCTCAGTTTTGTGTTAAACATTTCCTTCACATTCCAACAGCACCGGAGTTGCTCAGTCAGCTGGCTGCATCTGTCCCACAGCCTCGGGGTGTCTGCAGCCTCTGCCATTGCTAGTGGATGTCTGAACAGCCATGTCAGCAGAAATGCCCTCTTCTAGGTGGGACTGGCCAGAAGATTGCATCTCATCCTATGAAGTGCATGTCTGGACACACTGATGCATGAATTTGTGTCTTGCAGCTTAATTACTGCAGCTCTCTATGCTTTGAAATAAACCACAGCTGGTGTAACATACAGCAGATGTCTGCTTAGCAATGGAGAGCAGCCTGGTGCTTTGCTCTCCCTAGTTTCTTATTAAGTACAGACTTCGTCTTTTCTGATATTCAAAGCCCTTCATAATCTTCCATAGCCAGCTCCTCCTGGAGCACTGCAGCCATTGACAAAGAGGTAAGACAAGACTGTTGGACTTTCATCTTTTCCAGGCAGTATTTCTGCACTATGGAACTTATTTTGCTTCACGGAGATACAAATAACCCAGATCTCAATGCATTCAGAAGTAAACGCAGAACTTCTCAGCTTCATTTCTTTACACAGAAACATGCAGAGAATGCTAGTACCCAGCCCAACAAATCCAAGCCCTATAAACTAATCAAGCTATTCCTCCTATGGGCTAGATAGAAAGCAAGGCAGAGAAGGAAACAGCTTTTTTCTATTTTAAAATACTTGGGAGGCACACAAGTCCCACAGAGATGGGAGCCATCTAAATATATATAGAGACCTAGCAAGATAAATGAATCCATCTGTTGTAATCTAGCAGTTTCATAAAACCAATGAAAAAAATTGACAGTTTCATGAAACCACTAAAATGTTATTGATACTTTCAAGTTTTTCAAATTCTTCTCCAATGTATATGAATGTAGAAAATCAGCCATCCACTGTCAGATTCCTGAAATGAATAGGTAAGGAACAAGACTGTGCATGAAGCTGATGCAAACAAATCCACAATGTAATTAAAGCAAATTGCCATTAACAATCTAACACAAACTATTACAAATCCCTCCTCACACCCCAAAATACATTTCTGATTTCCATGATATGTCAGCACACACATCCACCGCTACCCCTCTTCCATCCCAGGGATCTCAAAGCATCTCACAGATGGTGCTTAACTGAAGCCTTACAACACTTCCATTCTATTTCTCCACAGGGGAAACTGAGAGGCACAGAGATTTGCTTATCGACTAACAGGAAGCATTAAAATGCCCAGAAAGACGTAGGTGTCCTATGTGCACATATGCCTTGCTCTTACTACTAGATAGCACTTCCAGTACAAGTCTGGTTGAAATTAGAGAAAGTTGTTCTTTTAAAGACTGCACTGAGCAATCCTCTGACAGCTTTACAGGCAGAGAAGGGCAGAGAAATAGTGTTTTGCATCATCCCAATGAGTGATGCCTTTTTTCAGCTCTGTGTCTGAAGAGCCACGTGGCAGCTATGGAACAGCACCCAGTATACTGTGAATTCACACCAGTTTTTGTTGGTTTCAAATGTTCATATTTTGGTACAGCCAAGTGACGGGTGTGGGAAACAGCCAAAGGTTTCCATACATCAGGGAATCCTACAAAACATGTAGCAAGAAAGTCACTGCATAAGCACCCAGTCTATCAGCCATCATCTCACAGGCATGTTGGTGTGTGCTCTGAGACTTTCCAGCAAAGCAGGCTAGTCTGGGAAGTGGGAAAACAAATGTGCATTAGCCAGTGAGCTGTATTGGGCCTCGGAAATGTTTCCCATTAAATGTGCAGGTTCAGCTTCCTCCCTTCCCTCTCCTCTTCAGTACATGCACACACTCCATCTCACTGTGATTTATGGTACAGTCCTGCTATGATCTTTCTTTGGGTAAACATCTATGCCCAGAGTGCAAGCAGAGGGCATGAGTCCGAGGAACAGGCAGCACAGCAGATTTGACAAGCTGAGTCCTGAAAAATATCCTCAGTTAAAGTACAGAGATACCCATAGGCCTCAGGGAGCTACCAAAATACACATCAAACAATACTGTCCATTAAAAAGGCACCAGCTGTACTACTCTGTGTTCACTTACTCTCCTCCTGGGAGAGAAGGGAAACTATACAACAATCAGTCCCACAGTCCATAACGCAAAGTCCTGACTAGGTGTTACTGTGCATATAGAGCTTTACATACTGAATACAAGGCTACCCAGCAGCTCTGGACATCATGTACAATATAACAAAAGAGGGAGCTGGCAACAGCTGGTCACTTCTGGACATCATGCCTGGGTTATTATTTTATTGTGCTCCTCTATTTTCCTTTTTTTTTTGTTTGATTTTTTCCTTCTAGAATTTGGTAACTGATGTCTCACTGTTATTACCAGTATTTCATTAATAATATTCTGTCAGTGTGTATAAAAATGACATAGTTCTCCCCATAAATGTTACAATATGAAAAAACAATCTGCTGTTAATAAAACAGAAACAAATTCCCAAAGGAGATGAATGCTCTTAAAAACCACAAACTTGAAATAAAAAACCACTCTGCTGCATTTGAAGTAATTACAAGACAAAAATGATGAAGACTGTTTCTCCTCAAAACTTGGCAATTTTTATATCATGCTACTGATATTCTTAATGAAAAATGGTGCTTTTATTCACTGCCACTTCTTTTACTTTGGCCGATGCTGTAGCCAAACATCTGCTTGTTAAGTTAGCAGAGTAAATTGATGGTTAGTAACTCACAAGTTTCCAAAGAAGATCTCCACAGACATTTCCAAAGGAAGACCCTGTCTGAAGCTTTGTGAGGATGCACTTAGGAGGGGATAAGACTATGAAGAAACAGAAAGGTCCAGACAAAGCATCCATGTGAATGTTGGACAGGTTGGGCTCTTCAACTAAAAAGCCTCAATGGAAGATTAGATGAGGCTAAAAGCAACGGTGAGGTAGCAGATCGTTCACTGCTCAAAGGATCTGTTCCTTTCCCTTCTATCTTTAGAGAGCAGCAGAGGAAAACTAATCATTATTATTACAGTTACACATTCTGAACCTGTCCCTGCTGACATGTTGATCCATCTTTATACTGGAAAAAGTCTTAGGAGGCAACCCAAATATATCCCAACAGACAAAATCCGGTATATCCAGGATTTAAGACATAAATCCCCAAAGAGCCTCCTATCCAAGCAGATACAATCCAGACAATTGTTAGCAAGTCTCCCAGGTCCTTGGCTTACACCATCTCTACATGCTGTGCCAGGCTAATTGAGAAGTGTCAGACTTTGGGACCTTCCAGTAGCAGGTATAAAAAAAGGCATCATTATGTGGCCAGACTCTAGCAGGATTCCCATCAAACTCCCTTCCTTTCCTATCACTGACAATCAATTATCACACACCGGGGTTGAGACAGAAAAATAGTACTAGCAAAAATTAGTGTATTGACAGAATAATAATTTTAAAGAGATCTAAAAGAAACCACACAAATACATGTGTAAATAGTCTTACTATCCTCACAAGGCAATTAGATCTGTTAGGCTGAGGAGTAGAAAATGATGACTCCTCATTTTTTAAATGATAATGAGCTTCTTGCAGGCAAACTACACAGCCCAGGAGACTAAATCCTCAGACTATGCATAGACCACGGCAGCACAGAGAAAAAGAAGCAAGTTTCTTCAGAGCAGTGCCAGAAACCCAGGAATGCTTTCTCCCAAAGGCAGTGAGGAAGCCTGGGTGCCAAGACATTAGGAAAAATTGTATGGTTTCTTCTGTCTGTGACACACCTG